ATGACAAACTTGCTTTAGGTACTTCCTGCTTTGACATTTTTTTAAAGTCTGTAAAATAAAAATAAACTAGATCCCAAATAAATTGTGAAGAAGTTGATTTTATTTAACTGGACCACAATAGGTTCCACAGGCTGAGGTTTATGGCGATAGTATTAAAGTGCCGCGTTCCACATAAAAGCAGGAAATTTCTTGGTTATCTTATGAAATAAGAACTATTCAAGAAGGTTTGTTCGTTGAAGTACAAAACAATAATTTAGAACGCAATTAAGTGCTTAACTGCTGACGTGTTTAAAGTAAGATGTGAAATCGTGGATTGCAACGAAATATCTTACAAGAGGGCCCAACAGGCAATTATTTTTTAATATTTACTTTCTCTTATTGGTGTTTAAATCATATAAGAGTGAGTCTTAGCCTCCTGTACCGTAGATGTTTCCGAAATCTTTATTGAGACACGCCTTAGGTGGGGGATCAGGCATTCGCAAGAAACATATCGTCTTATAGGAACAGAAATAAATGATGACAAATATCAATGCCTCAAGTGTGTTTCGAACCCTCGGTTCCAGAGTTAGATCGGTCCAAGGCCATGTATGCCTTACATGCTTACCGACATAAATATTTACAAATAGTGCTATATGACATTTAATCCTTAAACGGTTTGCTTGAAAGTTGTGACGGTGTGCGTCTGTCTGCTTCCAACTAACGTCACTTGTGGCGCTGGCTGTTACTTAAAACTTCGTAGCGCACAAATGAGTTTTAGAGACAGAGAAAGAAAGAAAGACTTGAACGAAACAGAAATGTCACTATGTATAAGGGAATGGTACGTCAACGAGAAATTCTATTGGGAACTTTTGCATTTTAGCTAACTAAGGTGGGGGGGGGGGCGGTAGCGTAGCTGGTTGAGTCACTATGCTACAAGCTGGAAGGTCGCGGGTTCAAGTCCCGATAAGGTCATTGGATTTTTTTCAATTGACCTTTTCCTTCCGTCCGCACTATGACCCTGGGGTCGACTCAGCCTCCAACAGAAATGAGTTATTTTTTCCTTGGCACTACAGCCCCAGTGGGCCTAGGCCTACCTCCATTAACTTTTCCGTTCACTTCGGCTTTTCTAGATCTTACACATTCGGTAAGACTCCTTGGGCGGGTGATCAGCTCATCGCAAGGTCTCTACCTGTATAAAAAACACAGAAAAACGCACACACACAAACTAAACATCCATGCCCTGAGTAGGATTCCAACCCACGATCCCGGTTTCCAAGCGAACGAAGACAGTACATGCCTTAGACCGCTCGGCTACCGTGACCGGCAACATAAATGAGTACCAGGAATTAATTAAATATTATTCCTGTGGAGTAAAGCGCGACCGGCGCTTAAGGCTGACAAACTTACCGCCATCTGTGAGCCGATTGTCTAGATAATGTGGGACCCTCAACTTCTCACAACCCTATGGGTCTTCACGGTCTGTTACAGGGATAGCTTTACTTTTTTCCTTTTGGAGAAGTAAGGTGAATAGATAGAGAATTGAGATGAAGAATTGGTGGAAATTATGAAGGAAAGTGAGCAGACGTTTAGAAGGATTGAGCTTGGCTAAATTGTGTCATGTTTAGAAGGGACTGTTGTCTATCGGCTAAGACACAAGATTCTTGTAACTCAAATATTCATTGACTCCTCCTTGCGCCTAGCAAACCCATTGAATTCTTGAAGTATTTAAAAAATTACGAACTGTGGTTTTCTGGTTTGCAATTCGATGTAGTTTGGAGAGAGTCCGAAATTTAGGAGAAATATATTGCCTTAATTTTCAGGATCAACCGAACAACCAAACACCCGAAGCAGGAGATCAGCTGAGCATTTTTTTTTAATTCGCTTAGTGGGGAACGGAGTCCAGTTGGGTCCACTCTGCACGGCGGCCACTGATTGGCCTATTGTACCTGCCCCGAGTGATTATGATGATGGAGAATTTGGTGGAATGAAGATTGGCAGGGGAAACCGAAGTACTCGGGGAAACCTATCCAACGCCACTTTGTCCACCACAAATCCCACTTGACCAGACCCGGGCTCGAACCCGGGCAGCCGCGGTGGGAAGCCAGCGACTAACCTCTTGAGTTATGGCGCGGCCTTACCAGCTGAGCTTAGCCACTTGGATTACTCTTCGACCCTCAATATGGAGGTCATATTTTCCACCGAAACATCGCGGTCCCTCTGACACGCATGGTTTTACAACCTACAAGTAATCATCTTGAAAAATCTAACAATAACTTTTGTTAGACCGGAAATTTACGCCCGATCAAAAGGTGAATATTCAGTGAAATCGGACTAGCTGTTTTTAGAAGAATATACCTCTATTTAAGCCTACATACAGATAGTACGTCTTTTGCTTCTGTTTTGTATTTCTTTGAATATTCTTTAAAAATCCCATTTGTAATTCTGAGCATGGACGTATAGTTTATAAGAAACATACTACGAATGAAATTCAGAATAGATTTTATTTTCGTAACTTATTTAAGAATTTCTTAGTTGTTTTATCATCTGCGCCCTGTACATACAGCCTGAATCTCAGGTTGGCGTTGTAACTGAGAATAACTTGAGATGGATCTGAAGGAAATCCACTTTTCAGCAGTTAAATATATTTTAAGACGCTACCCCAGAAATTGTTTGAAAGACTGATAAAAACCAGGAAAAAAATGTAGTAGCTTGGTACATGTGTGGGTACAATTAAAATCCTACTCCTGGACAACGAACTTGCGATAATTACCAAGCCACGTCTCATGGCTGTGATGCTTATAACCGACGCATTGAGAGCTTTAGCTTTTTAGCTGCATATATAATTATTAAAATTCTTTTTCAGAGAAGTTTAACAAAATATTTATTAAAGGCCTTAAATTCTTATCATTTTTAAGATTGAAAACATGCAAATAGGGCCACGTATAGCTTAACTGATTGAGGTACTTTGCTACAAACTGGCAGGTCAAAGGTTTGATTTTCGATGAGATCTTGGATTTTTTCAATTGACCTAGACTTTCCAGCTGGGCTGCCGGTGTAAGGCTGACAACCTCACCGCCATCTGTGAGCCGATTGTCTAGATAATGTGGGAGCCTCCACGTCTCACAACCCTATGGGCCTTCACGGCCTGTTACAGGGATAGCTTCACCTTTCTTTTTTTAAGCTATCCAAATATGAAAATATTTAAAATGTTTGCCCTTCTATGTACATACGATTCACGTCGCTTCTTCCATTAAGCTGATATTTATGAAGTATTCACGGAACTTACTTACTTACTCATAGAGCTGAGCCCTTTAGAGGAGCCGCCAATTCTGCAGCAACTCAAGAATTTACCAGCATTTCATGGAACCCGAAGGTTGATTACTGTGTTCACAAGAGCCTTCCACTAGTCCCTATCCTGAGCCAGATCAATCCAATCCATCCCATCCTATCTCTCTAAGATCAGTTTTAATATTGTCCACCCACCTACACCTGATCTTCCCAGTGGTCTCTTTCCTACTGGCTTTCCGCCAATATCCTACAAGCATTCCTCGTCGCCCCCCTACGTGCTACAAGCCCTGCTTACTTCACCTTCCTTGACTTGATCATTCTAATTATACTTGGAGAAGAGTACAAGATATGAGGCTCCTCATTATGCAGTTTTCTCCAACCTCCTATCACTTCATCTCTCTTACTTAATGTGTAGTATTATTATATTAATATGATCTAGTTACTGTAGGTTATTTTCTAAATGTAACCTGCCCATTTTCTCCAAATGAATCCCGTAAAGTTGGGCGTGAATTTCACTCAGGGCTCATGCGACGTAATTAGTAGTACATCCTGAACATAACGAGCATGCCCGTCTCAAAAGTTTACAAAAGAAAAACAAGTGCCCTGTATATTCACGGGCATCCAGTGGGATCCTCACTAATAAAACGGGATAAAACCAGTATATTTAAGATACCGTTGTGGGTCTCGCCTCACGATTTGAGAACCTATTATCTATACGTGTAATCTATAAGTTCGGTATGAGAGAGAGAGAGTCAGAGCTTGGGAAATCTTGGGGCAACTCCTGCTCTTGAAAGCGCCGCTGCGTAGAATCATTGTATTTGTTTCTCTGGTATGTCGTTCACGTATTCCCCGCTCTTAATGTTTCCCGCGCTGTGTACCATCACAATGTATGTACAACTAGCAAGCAGCAAGGTAACAATGAGTACCTGTTTAGTATTCTAGTGGCCTGGACCTGAACATGACTGCCTTCAAGATATAAATGCAATTTAAACCACCTACTTGAACGGATAAGTGTTTCATGTCACTCTTCTATGCAGAATGAAAGTTGGTACATATGAGTAGTGTGTGAATGATTTGCATGTTTATAGTATAATGAGGCTGGTTTCTGATTAAATACAGATAATGTACAGAAATTTCGGGCTGACAAATGATTGCCTTCTTCTTGACTTCAGTTCCGCGTCACATCTGTCGGCCTTTGGACCCTCCTTCCGTTATATTTTCGGCCATTCTCTGTTTCATCGCCCTGTCAGCCTCATTTCATTCTTTCTTCATTTTCTTTCCAACTTTAATTCTAATGTACTTCATTCTTTATTACGTTCTCATATACGAAGCATAAGTACATAAATATTATTGTGACTTCCAAATATTATCTCTTGAAATGAGATATTTCCTTACTTTGAGCACCCCACCCAATAAGAAAACTTGGTTTATGGTATACCATCTCTCTGTATATATGTATTATGGCATATAGACCCGTTGTTAGACAACGACAGCGAAGCAAATGAAATAAAATCACCTTGTATCAGGAGGTTTGTAGCCATTGTTTTCGAACTAATATCAGCAAGCATGAGCCTACTCGAAGCGAGTGTCGTGTTTCATTTGTTTTCTGCAGAAAGATCAGTTGAATGCTCCCACGTCGTGAAGGACGAGTTGGTTTAAGTAGGAAACAGTTGTATCACAGATCTGAAGGTAATTCGAAAGAAAGAGCTTTAGTTTTGTTTCTTGATATCATTTAGCGAGCTGTATAAAACTAGACGTTGAATTTGTGTCTTCAGTCGTCAGTGGTAACCCATACCTTGATTATATTGTGCTCTTTCAGTCTCTCGCTGTACGCTACAAGGACAAATAGCATTGCTGTATATTGGATTCGCTTACATTAAACATTTATTGGCGTGGCAATGCGAACTTATACAGTTGAAATACTTCGGTTTTACACTAAAATTATCAGTAAATATATGCGATTTTAAAATTCATTTAATTCGTGCGGGAACAGGAAATAAAATTGCCTCTAGGCACAGTGTGTTTCAAAATAATTTTGCTACTTTTTATATAGAGCTATATTTATGCTGAAATGACGATGGATAATATAGTTTAATGAATTTGTGAGTGATATATGAACATATAGACAAGATAAAATGGGCGGATCATCAGAGTTAATCATCCAGCAAACTCTCCGCTTCATGTGACAAACGCTTTGGGAGTCGGTGAGTGCAAACACATTTTCATAATTTCCTCTTAATATCTCCGCATAACTTACATGAAATGAGACATAATACGAAAAGTATGGAGATGTGTGGGGCTTGACATTTACTTTCTAAATAAAACAAAATTTCAATAAAGGGATTCATAATGAAAAACGACCTGCTGTACAAAAAACTTAAAAGCAACATAAAATACAGATGTCGCTAGAATATAAAATTCTCATCTGAACCCGTTTCTTTTGGTGAATATATAACTAAATATAAAATGCAATATATACCGATAAATACTGTGGAGAAATATTCCCCTACTTTCAATTATACGACACGGACAGTATAGAAAGTTTCGCGTCAAATAATCCTTCTATTGTTGCGTATATGTTCGTTGCCGCGGTGAACTTCTACTGAGTCATTGCCTAACAACGACAAGGGAAAATTTACCATTCCGTTCCCTAGCAACGATAGGGGGATACACAGACACACAGACTGATGGGAGGGACAAAGTACAACGTTGAGATGAGGGGCACGCGGTAGCGCAGTTGGTTGAGGCACTATACTACAAGCCGGAAGGTCGCGGGATCGAATCCCGATGAGGGGAATTTCTTCAATTTACCTGATCCTTCCAGCCGCGCTATGGCCCTAGGGTCGACTTAGCCTCTAACAGAAATGGGTACCTGGAATCTTCAAGGGGGTAAAGGGAGGTCGGCGCTTAAGGCTGACAACCTTACCGCCATCTATGAGCAGATTGTCTAGAAGATGTTGGAACCTCAACCTCTCAAAACCCAACGGGCCTCCATGACTTGTTACAGGGATAGCTTTACTTTACTTACTTTAGGTCGTTGAAATATGCACAGGTTCTGTGATATACATACCAAGGTTAGGGCCTCTTCTGGCCTATTGTACCAGCCCAAGATGAAAGGTGAGGGTGATATGAAGCCAGCGACGGCCCGGGGTCGATCCCCGGTCTGGTCAAGTGAGATTTGTGGTAGACAAAGTTGCGCTGGGGCAGGTTTCTCCGAGTACTTCGGTTTCCCCTGCCAATCTTCATTCTACCAATTGCTCCACAATCACCCTCACCTATCATCTGGGACTGTTACAATAGGCCAGAAGTGGCCGCAGTACAAGGGACTTAGTCCCACCCCACTAGCAATAAAAAAAATACATACCAAGGTTTATGAATATTGGTAGAGGCACTCAAAATTTGATAAGGGGGAGGTTCGTAGGCAGACAGGCAGACAGACAGCATGGTAACATCACGAACCAGCTTCAATAAAGAAAATAAGCTAAAAGTAATATATGACGTCAGTATGGTATATCAAGACAAAATAATTTCTGGGACAATATATTTGTAGGACCATAAAGGAGACTAAAGCCATTGAAATAGCGTAATTAAAGAGGACCAATATGAAGATATATATGTGCTTAGAATGTGTTGCTGGTTATTTCTTTCCATTCGGTTCTTCTCCAGTTCGATATGTAATTTCCGAAATTCTTGTCACTGTAATCCGTTTTACATCCTTGCTACATTACGTAATATTGAGGCCATCGTTTGGTGTAATTATTTGGTAATAGCGCAAGATATTAATACGCAGCTAATTAGTGTAATATTGACTCAAGCTGAGTGCAATTATTGAGTACTGAAACAGAATAAGTTGATATAATTTCAGGTACCAGCTTAATAGAATCCCAGTTACCATAGATTCAATTGATCCCCCAGGCAACGACTGATAATGATCGAAGGCTATAGAAAGATTATTATGCTGAAATTGGCGCTTGCGGGTGTCTATTCAGGTTTAAACGAAGGTGAAACATATTAGCTATTGACTTCTAATTTTCGGCAATTTATTCTCTACGAACTTTGAAATTGTCTTCTAGTAATTTGCACTTAGTTACACAAATTACGTTTCAAAAGCCGCTGAAAGGTTTTGGAGATTCATCTAAATACGAAATCAACAACTTTTACAGCAGTTTTCGGAACATTCACAGATAATATTTGCAAAAAATAAAATAACGTCTCTTATTCTTTAGACGTCCGTATAATATTACGAACAACTTGAGGTTGAGAAGACTTTCTTTGTGTTTAATATTAGAGAGGTTTGCTCGGATTTGTCAACAAAGCCCAAGTTTGGTTAAATTCTGACATCAGCAGCGGAAAATTTACTTGAGGACTTACATTGGTTTTGGTGTGCATCTTAAACGTAAGTTACAAAACATTTATCGAAGTGAGATAAGTGAGACGCAAAAATTGCAGAGGGAAACACTCATTTTATGTTGTAAACAACAGTTCTATCAGCAAGCTTAACGTTTCTTTAAACGAAAGTGAGGGCACTCCATAGAATTGTTAACACTGTTCGTGCATTTCCTAACTTTTACGAAGAAAGGTGATTCTGTGTAGAATTTGAGGCTCTCGCAACGGTGGTCATGAAATGTTCTATCTTCTGTGATATAATGCGATCTAATGAAATGGATGTTAACCGACGTTGAGGAGGAATATTTCGCATCCATCTTCGTGGTTGAATTAAAAGGCAAGTAAGAAACCAACCTGAAGCAGTTTGCTTATTCTTCGACCCTGAAGACTGAGGTGACATGTATCTCCGCAACGTCGGTTTACTTCCAGTGGAATACACGACATTATAGCACAGAATATGAGACCCTTCAAAAGTAATTCTGTTGATATATATTCATCATAACCTATTACTTTTTATTGAAGACACGGTTATGTAATTTTGATAATTGAGAAATGGGGAAACTTTATACTTTTATTGACGAAATAACAAATAAATACAGGCCGGAAGAGTCATTGCCCCGAAGCGAAAATATGAAATATGAACCTTAAAGAGGAAAAAGTTTTACTCTGACGTATCCGTCATTTGCTTTAGTGTTCTTCAACACAGTCTCTTTGGCAAAGCTAATCAGATGTATATAATCAACCAAGTTATGATTGCTTATGGTCGAAATAATAAATATTCTGGAGGTAGTACTAGCAGCAGCAAAACAACATAATCATACAAGTACTTCTACCATGGACCTAGACAAAATTTGCCTTCGTACCACTGTGATTTAAATCTTCTAAAAACAATATGTAATTTACAAAAACAAGAAGCTGTTGTTAGAAATACAACTTCGGGTCTTTTGCAGCTTCGAAAGACATGACACTCCAAAGTTTGAATAAAATAACGCATGAAGGTTGTGAAAACAACTGACAATCAATACTGGCACTGCAGGAAGCAACCGAAAGCGCATTTGTGAGTATAGAAATAGAAAATAGCGACGAGGGATTCGGAGACGGGTCAATGCATGTCCTTAAGACCGGAAGTGCAGCGGACACTACATCTAAGGAAACGCACACTCAACAGAGCAGGCTGGGAAAAGGGGTGGAGGGTTCATCTCATTTGTGGTTCGAAATGTTGAATCAAATCAGAGCTGTCTTCAGTCATGAAATATATGATAGTATAACAAGCTTGTATTACTTTCATTGTCAGACTGTACATTTCGTTCTTCCTTTCCGCCAAACACAATAACACTATTCTGACGGCTGGGGCACTCACATCTTGCTTAGATTATACGTATACTGCACTGCATAATCATTTTAAATACCGCTGTGGGCAAAGCTATGATCGATGCAGATGGCACCCTGTACAGCATCAAGTTATGAATTATATTTACTCCTATTTCATTAAATATGCTCGGTGTCTGAAACATATTTCGAATAAATATTGTGGAGTTTAACGAGTTCTGTGTCAGTATGGGAAGACCAAGGCGTAAATGAGTGGGCAATATTAAAATAGATCTCAGAGAGATAGGAGGTTATAGATTGGATTGATCTTGCTCAGGATAGGGACCAGTAGAGGGCTCTTGTGAATACGGTAATGAACCTTCGGGTTACTTAAAATGCTTGGAAGTTCTTGTGTAGTTGCACACTTGGCAGCTCCTCAAGAAGGGCTCAGCTCAATGAGTGAGTTAACGAGTTCTGTGTTTTATGATATGTACGAATGTATTGTATTACGAACAATCTTTTTAAAAATTGGCGAGTTTGATTTGACCTCAAAGTGAAGTGGCGTGATACTGTACTGGAAAAGCGTAAAGTTATTCTTGTATTTAATTACATAAGAACAACGCTCTGAAGATTCATGCGGTAGTGGAGGTTTAGCTCCATCATTCTAAACCTCGGCACTAGATGAAATTGAGTGTACAAGAGGCTGGGAGGGTTTCTGGGAGATTGTGAACTCTGTCGAGTACAGATAAATCTCTTATTCCGGTTAATAATCGATCCTTGGTTCTCGGTCGTCCTTTCTGGAATCTAGTTGCTATACAGACTGAGCTATCCCAGCTCATATTTTACTAGTAGAGATGAAAGTTTATACTACAAATTTAGCCTAGGCACTCGATAATATATTTTATCCGATTCAGCTGTATGATTATGCAGATGATGCTGGCAGCTGACTGTCACGATTTCACCATTATCTGTGGATTTCATGTAGATCGTGCGAAGAATAAAATTTTTTTATATTGTTTATTTTATTTTACAATCTACTCAATATTCATAAATGAGTAATTAGTAAAAGGGTTAGGTGTACGTATGGTATATGGTATGCTTAGATCATTGTGTAAGGTAGCGTTTGATGAGTACCAGGGAGCATTAACTAGTTGTCTTAGCGTTTTGGATTGGAACGTTTGGAGAATTTTTGTGTTGGAAGATTTGCTGCATCCCCATAACTCTATCCCGTAGGTCCAGACTGGTTTGATTATCGTCTTGTATATGATTATTTTGTTTTCAAGAGATAGCTGCGATTTTTTGTCGATTAGCCAATTCATATTTCTGGTTTTGAGCTCTAGTTGTCTTCTCTTAGCTTTTATATGCGCTCTCCACGTTAGTAAGAATACAAATAAAGACAGAAATCCACAGAAGGAACTGTGTAATGAATCTAGAGAAGTTCTGTACTAATCTCCGTCTTATGGGCCTAAGGTTACATGCACTGTCTCTGCGTCAGTTAACAGAACTATGT